TTTTCTGCCAAAATCCTGAAAATGTGTGACCCTATTCTTGTTACACAATTGAAAGAGAAACCCCATTATAGTCAATCCAATCGTAAAAATGTGACCTTATACAACATGATATCCCTATTAGCCTGTTTCTAGGAAATAACCTCCCTCAGGGTTGAAAGTTCTAGCTGTCCACATTTATTAATAATCTTTTTCAAACTTTTTAGGGATGATGAAGAATCTCCAGAAAAAAGTCCATGGCTCAATGCTCACCAAGATCCAGTTGCACAGCTCTACACCTTTTCCACATCAATTTCCCTGGCAGATCTGAATGCTGACTCTGACCACAAACTCCTTGTGGCTGACCTGGGCACAGGCACATTTGACATGAAGCTGAAGGTTTTTAAGGGAACTAGTCTGTTTATGGAGAGTGCTATCATTGATCTGCCAACAGCTTTGGTAACATTTTATATGGACACAAATGATCCACGCACACCTGCCGTCGCAGTTGCTTCAGGACCATTCATCTATGTGTACAAGAATTTGAGGCCTTATTTTAAGTTCACTTTACCGCCTCTGGAAGTCAATGCTGTGGAGCAAGATCTCTGGAACCAGGCTAAAGAAGACAAGATTGACATTCATGTGCTCAGGGAGATGTTGGAGAGTTTGAAGAATGAAGGAAGTGAGGGTTTCCTTACTGTACGTTCACTGAAATTACTGTCCCTTGAACCAGAGGAGGTTGAAGCTTTTGCAAGTGTTCACAAGCATGCCCCACTGAAGAGGCAAACAGTGATTACTTGCATGGGAACAATGAAAAAGAGTATGGCTGATGATGATGCTGTTAGCTGTTTGGTGATTGGAACAGAGAGTAAGGATGTCTTTGTTCTTGATCCTGAAGCTTTCACTGTCCTTGCAAGAATGAACCTCCCCAGTGTACCAGTATTCATCTCAGTCAATGGTTTATTTGATGTGGAATTCCGAATTGTAGTTGCATGCCGAGATGGTAAGGTATACACCTTGAAGAGGGGTAATAAGATGGCCAAGGCATGCATTGAACTTGGAGCCCAAGCAGTTGGTTTAGAGCGCACGGGAAAGAGCATTATAGTGGGGTGTATGGATAACACACTGGTTTGTTACTCCACCAAAGGGAAAAAGCTGTGGACAGTGTACCTCCCTTCCAGTATCACCACCATGAGCCTTATGGATCACAAAGCAAGGGGTTTTAAGGCTGTCATGGTAGCCATGAAAAATGGTGAAGTTAGGATCTACAAGGAGAAGTATGTCATCAATACCATCAAAATGCCAGATGCAGTGACTGCTATGAAGTTTGGTCGGTTTGGCCGGGAGGAAAGTGCCTTAATTCTCATCACTAAAGGTGGAGGCCTTTATGTGAAAATCTTGAAGAGAACTGCAAACTTTGAAGGCAAGGATTTGACTCCTGGACCACCTCAGGCACAATCTATCAAGCTCAACGTTCCTAAGAAGACGAAGCTTTTTGTGGATCAGACGTTGCGTGAACGTGACAGTGCTGGCAGCATGCATAGAATGTTCCAACATGATCTTTACCTCATGCGCCTCATGGCTGCAAGGGCATATGTCAGTGCACTTCAGAAAAGTTTGAACCCGATTTCCTCTTCTACTACAGAACCTCTGAAGCTTTCAGCTCAAGTTCAGGGAATTGGGCCTGCCTTCAAGCTGACTGTGAATCTTCAGAACATTTCGTCAAGTGTGCCATCCACCAACCTCCTCATCACATTTCAGTTCGATGACTCCCTGTATGCCCTGTCTAAGCCTTGCATTACTGTTCCTCTGCTTGTGCCAGGCCTAATGTACACTTATGAAACTCTTGTGGAGTGTATCAGTGATAAAGGGATTTCAGATTCAATCAAAGTGTTTGTTTTGCATCAAGGAAATAGCATTCCTGTCATTACTGCTGTCATTAATATGCCTGTTAGTGAGGCTCTGGTTATTGTGTAGCCACAAGAACTACAGTTTATGTTACCAAGACTGTTCTCACAGTTCAGTGACTTAATTATTTATTACAAAATCAGAAAATATATTTTGTTTAGTTGTCTCTAAATTAGTGCAAGACCATGATTGATATGCTGTTCTTTGCATTTTCCCTTTATAGGGCACTTGCATGACCATTAATTCATGTACAATAACAAAGTTTTAAAAAATGTTGTGTTTCATAATTGTGGTGAAAACTCCTGTTGATCACCCTTTCCACTCTAACATCATTATGCATATTCTCTGTGCTGTTCTTTATACATTTCATAAGGTGCTGACAGGGAGAATTTGTTTAACAATCAAGAGCTTCTTTGGTTGGTAATCATTTCCTTTCCTGTCATGATTCAGGGGTGATATTAGAAGGAGAAATATGCAGCCAGTAACTCTTAGTCTTAGGGGTAAAAGGGTAAAGAATCATTATTTATTGATCCTCATCAGAAGTCACCACAATGTGAGACCGATTATTTTTCACTACAGTGACATTGTTTACTTATTCCAAAGGCCTTGTATATTCTTCATGGGGTGTTTTAAATTGTCTCCTAATTAATTCTGTCTCCATTATGCAAGTGCTGTTTCAGTAAGCTTCTATGATCAGTTTTAAGCTAGCCCAGACAACACTGGCTAAGAACTGGTTGGAGCACATCAAGTACATAGCTATGACATAAATCCCTTGTGTGACTCAAGACTTTTGGAAAGTACTGATTGATAAGAAAATAAGTGGAGATTATTGGTAGACAAGTTACTTAGAACCATTATGGTGGAGCACTTGTAATTAGAGCCCACTTATGTAGATTTATAGTTTTCCGTAGATAAAATATGATTAATGATCAGAGAGGGAAATTTAAACAATTCTGAATGATAAAGAAGGATATTGTGTCTAGGGCTTGCATACTGTTTTAACTCTTTAACTCCCGGAAGGGATTAACATGTAACTTCTCCCTCTTATATTCCTGCATTATCCAGCAAAAAGGTAGTGAGAATATTCAAACTTATCAATCTCCTTTGTTCTGAGCTTGTCTCTCCGTCGCTCGTAATCAACATCAGTCTTCAAAATGAACTTGTTTGCCCTACACTGAATTTGTTCCAACTTTGTGATATTTCTGAATGTGTGGTGACCACATAACAGTGCAAAATTCGATATTACCAGGGAAAGATACAAAGTTCTCAGTGTAGAAACATTGATTCTGAAGTCATTTACAGGTTCTCCTTAAAATACCTTGGGTCTTGTTAGCCTTACTTGAAATTTTATCACTGAGTGTTCCGAGACCGATTAAAGTTGGTAACCGAGCAAAGATCACGAAACTTAGATGTTAAACCCAAGATGATATTGTTACTCGAGCTTACTTAGGAACGCTCGAGTCTAAAAATGCAAGCCGTTTTTTTTTTCCCTATCCGCATCGTCTTCCAGGGTGTTCGTAGTTCAGACGCGGATAACTTAGAATGGGTTATTCCCCACCCCTTCTACTGGGTTTATTTCTGTCCCCATAATCATAGTACTGTCTTCTGTTTAAATATCTGGGCGGTGGTACTATAGTAAAAAGTTTTGCCTGAATACATGGAATTTATCAAAATAATTTGAAAATGGCGTCTGCCGTCGGGCCGTAGGCCAAAATGATCTAGCTGGTTTCTCTTTTTTGCTCCGTGAATATTAGTGCTACAATTACTCTTGATTCGCGACGCCGTAGTTTCTCCTCGACTCAACGAAAAAGTTCCAAATTAAGCACAATAGCTAAGAACATAATAAAAATTTGTCCGACGAAACACAAATATAATCTATTGACTAGAACGCGATTTAGAACTCTCGCCGTAATTAGTATCGTGTCGCGCTAGTTAAATCAACTGTCACTTAGCAGCATCATAATTTTGAAGCGGCTTGATTTAATTTGTTTAAATTCACTCAGCTGCGAGGCCTTATCTCAAAATAGGAAATCCTAAAGTTTTCGGAAAATCTATCGGGGAATTTGGGAGACCGTCCTCAAAAACTTATTAACGGGAATTCTCCATAACATTAGCATAATAGTAGCGGTTGTCATGCAACGTCCACTATCTCAAACGTCAATTCTTTGGTCACGACGTGCAAAAATTGGTTTGACTGCGAAGATGGAAAGTCGGTTTTTGAGCGCTTTGAATGTAGTTAGTTGGCTTCTCGGAAAACTGTTTCCAGCCATCTTAAAATTGTTCAGATAACAGTGACAACAGATCACAAAATAGGTGTGTCTATGTTTATTTCATAGAAAATAGAAGGGTCTCTTTTGCTTTCCATTGAAATGTATTTTTGTTTGAAACTTTGAAAGTTGATGCTTTTTTCTCAAATCGTCCTATCTGAACCCAACCAAAAAAAAAAATTTGTACGCATGGCATGCCTACATTTCATAGTTGCCGGCCTTGCACTGAAATCGCGAATATGTAACCCCGCAAAATACCGTCTCACCACAATCGCAAAATTAAGTACCCGCGAAATTAAGTTCCCATAATTGTAGAACTTAAGATATGATATTTGCAAGAAAGCTGCAGTAAAAGCAATCGCGGAAAAAAAAGCTTGATAAGATTCACATTTGGACGGGATTCGAACCCGTGCCTCGCAGATGTCAGTTGGGCGTCTACCAACTAAGCTACGAGGCCACATGAAGCGAGAGAGACATCAAATGTAGCTTATTGTTGCGAGGATCACTCCTGTGGTTTTTAGTGCTTATTGTTATCCCATATCATTTGGGGAAAAAAAATTATCAATCCTCTATTGATTCAGATTAAATCTGGCAGCACATGTGTCCATTTCAGTTTCCTGTCTCAGTTTCCCATATCAGCTTCCTGAGTAGTCGAGAAAAAGATGGCGTGTGATAACTACTTGACAGCCGTTTACTTTGCCAAGAATTAAAATCGTATTTGTTTCCATAAATAAACCGTAAAATCTGGAGCAATGACCGACCGGAAGACCACCACACTTTCATTATTTCAACTTACGACATAATGCGATTTACATCTAATCGAAAACAGTGTGAATACAAACGCTAACAATGGATAATCTCAAGGAATTACTTGCACCAAAAACATTTAACAGAGTCAGCCATGCCGCAGTTGTTGTTTGGATTCTAATCGGTGTAATCTTCCTTGGAATTTTTGCAGACGCAGAAAGCAGCGAATCCAGGTATGATTTCCGCTGTGGCGGGGCAAACAGTGAAAACATCGACCTTGTACGTGGAAGATGTTTCGAGTTATACGAGAAGCAGTATAACAAACACGATGTTGCTACCTATGGCTTCGTCACCATGAACTTTTTCCTCATTGCAACTGTCTGTGCTATTTACTCCCAAATAGCGAGCCCTACAGTCGATCGACTGTCGACAAGCGCTCGGAACGATGATCTCGAGAGACAGTCGCCCGACCAAGAGAAAGCTGGAAAAAAGCTCTTTATCGCTTACTGCTCTCAGCTTGTCGCAAGGATTGTTTTAGGAGTTCTCTTTATGGTCCTACAAACTCAGGTTCTTTACCCTCGGGACTTTCCCTCCAGCTTTTCTTGTCATCTAACCTCTGAGGGGAATCAGCCAAGGAATTCTACTGGCGTTATGCAAAACTCCACCTTAACCTTGCACGAGTGTCATAATCAGCGAGCAACTAAGAAAAACTCTTGGATGCGCGCTGTTCTTATCGTGAACGGGATTTTTCTCTTTGGAATTCTGATGGAAACCGTCTATATTTTGCTACGTGCGTGGAAAGAAAACAGTTTCATGAAAAATTCAAACTTTCTAAAAGCTCACCTGAATCCCTTCCATGGCAACTCACAAAATGCTACCACCGCGACCGCATTAAAACCAGATCCTCGGCAGCAAAAACAAAGAACGGAGCATGAAACAAACCTCCCACAAGAACCTCAGAAGCAAGAAGAAAGAACAGAGCATGAAACGAACGTCCCACAAGAACTGCACCAGATAGAAGAAAGTACAGACCATGGAACGAACATCCCACATCTACCAAGCGAGCCTGAAAAACCCCGAAAACCACCGCTTCAGGAATTCATCGAGAATACAAAGAGAATTATTAAAGAAGAGACAAATAAACCTCCCCAACTCCGGTCGCCTTTTTCAAGTACTCACGGCGAAGGACGCCCAGCTAAACATTTGACTCTGGATCAGATTTACACTAAACTTGTCGTTGTTCCAGACATGGCTAATTATGACTTTACTGGAGACAGACAGCAGAAACTCGAAGTCTACGCCAGATCGGGTGAGAAAAGCACAACACCTAGAGGGCCGGAGGACATTATTAACCACGAAAACAAAAAAGTGTTGATTGTTGGTCGTCCCGGAATCGGAAAGACACTTTGTTGTTCCAAAGTTCTCAGGGACTGGGCATTAAACAAAGTATTTCATAAAACATCTGATGCTAAACTCCATTTTGATGCTTCTTTCTTCATCAAATTCAGAGCATTCAACGCTGCAGCCGACCTAAGCCTCAGGGAACTGCTCACTTTGTCAGAACATTCCCCCTCAAAACACATGGATGATGAAGTCTGGAATTACGTCCTTGAGAACCCCCAGAAAGTTCTCCTTGTTTTCGATGGAATCGATGAATTTAAACAGAATTCAAAGATCGGCGAGGAAAATTTCGATCCTAAATTCAGAAACCATGTAGACGAGAAGATGCCTTTGTCTGCTCTTTACGAGAAGCTTGCGTCTGGGAAACTTCTCAACGGAGCTGCCGTTTTGACAACCACAAGACCGACGGCTTTGTCATGCATTGAACGTCTTTCTTTCGACAAAGTCTTTGAGATCCTCGGCTTCTCATCCGAACAAGTCGAAGAATACGTAACCAAATTTGCCGAAGAAGACAAGCATGCGGGCGAAACAATATGGCGACACATCGGCGGCAACAGGAACATTCTCTCTCTATGCTATATTCCTGCGAGTTGCTTCATCATTTGCTCAAGTCTATTTCAAATGGTGAAGTTCTATGGTTCTAAGAGTCTAAGCCTACCAACGAAATTAACAGATATTTACAAGAAAGCAGTGAAAATTTTTTACTTAGGCCACAACGAAGAATTCCGTGGCAAGTATTTCACCCGTGAAGACTTTGAATCAGACGATTTGCCCCCTGAAGTGGAAGAGAAATTCGAGAAACTGGAAAAAATGGCATTTGATGGAATTAAAGAAGGAAGGCTAGTCTTTGGAGGAAATGAAGTACGCGGAATGGAAGACAGCGCTCTTTTTCACCGCTTACTTGACCGTGATACTGCTGCGTTAAAACGTGAAAAACAATTCTGTTTTATCCATTTAACAATGCAAGAGTTTTTCGCTGCGAGGCACCTAGCGAACATGAGTGAAACAGAATTGAGGAACTTTGTTTCAAATAACATCGAGGACGGAAAATGGCAGCTGGTTTTTCAGTTTCTAGCAGGACTAATGAACGAGGAAGAAAACCTACCGAGTGAAATCATCACAGACCTTCTTCCTGTAGAAACTGAAGAGAAAGAAAGCCAGTTCTACGACGAAGAGTGGCCAGAGGATACGGAGCCAAGGGAAGTAATGTGTTGGCCTACTAAAGACAAAAAATATTTAGCAGTGACATTATTTAAATGTGTTAACGAAAACAGTGAGATGGAGGAAATAGTTCAGAGAAAACTACAGCATATTAACTTTATTTCGGTAGATTTTGTTGATTGTCAACTCACACCTGTTGATTGTGCTTCATTGGTTACTGTAATTAAGAATGTTCAACAAATTTCACATTTAAATTTGGCTCACAATAACTTTGGTTCATTAGGTTGTTTTGAGATTTGTAAGTTGTTAAAATGTAGTAAATCTCAACTGAGCTGGTTAGGCCTCACAGGAAATCAATTGACAGATAAAGCAGCAAAGTATTTAGCTGAAGCCATCAACAACAACAACTGTCAGCTACGCACGTTACACCTCGAAGGAAATAACATCTCACACGTTGGAGCACAGCACTTGGCTGACGCCATCAACAACAACAACTGTCAGCTACGCACGTTAAACCTCTCAATAAATAACATCTCACACATTGGAGCACAGCACTTGGCTGACGCCATCAACAACAACAACTGTCAGCTACGCACGTTTAACCTCTCAGTAAATAACATCTCAGACATAGGAGCACAGCACTTGGCTGAAGCCATGAAAGACAACAACTGTCAGCTACGCACGTTAAACCTCTACAGAAATAACATCTCACACATTGGAGCACAGCACTTGGCTGACGCCATCAACAACAACAACTGTCAGCTACGCACGTTAAACCTCTCATACAATAACATCTCACACATTGGAGCACAGCACTTGGCTGAAGCCATCAACAACAACAACTGTCAGCTACGCACGTTAAACCTCTCATACAATAACATCTCACACATTGGAGCACGGCACTTGGCTGAAGCCATCAATAACAACAACTGTCAGCTACGCACGTTAATCCTCGAAGGAAATAACATCCCACACATTGGAGCACAGCACTTGGCTAAAGCCATCAAAAACAACAACTGTCAGCTTCGCACGTTAAACCTCACACACAATAACATCTCACACATTGGAGCACAGCACTTGGCTGAAGCCATCAATAACAACAACTGTCAGCTACGCACGTTAATCCTCGAAGGAAATAACATCTCAGAAGCGCTCAGAGCAGCGAGACTATTTGAATCGGATCGAAATGAAGAAAAATGAACCAATCGACATGTTTATTGAGAACAAAGGATGTCAAACAGTTTTTTTCTGTAAACGAACCAATGACATTGAAGTAAAAGCACAAAACTTACTGCATAGAAAACAGACAAATCTCGGACCTCTCAGGAAACTTTATTATTTTATGATTGGTTTATTTCGATCCTAAATTTACTGCATGCTTCTGTATCTTTTGATCACTTATATCTGTTACAAGGAATAGTTTTTTGTTAAGTTTAATGAAGTTCTTTTGGAGATTAAAAGTGAATCAGATGGGTAAATACAATACAGATTTTGCTTGCCAGAATTAAAAGTTTTCTTTCTGTGTTAAAATTTTTTTCAGTCAAAGCGATCCGGTTCAAGTAGTTTCATACTTTCTGCCAATTAAATTGTAACCAAATTGTAATCATGTGAACTCCTTGCTTTTAAAGACAAAATACCTTCAGTAGATAAGTGATGAGAGACTTATGTCATTTTAATTTGCCCAATTTTGTAGTGGTTTCTGCAATTTTTATAAATATGAGAGTGTTTTTGTACATAGGGGCAAAACTCCTAAGTTTCACAGATGAATGTTGAATAAATCATGTAAACAGATTTATCATTTGTGTTGCTGTCAATTCATACCAGACAAAGAGCTTTAACCTGATTTTTGAAACAGAGAAAATTGGACAAAGGGAGTAGCTGGGGAAGGGGGAGGGGGGTTGAAGCCTTTCCAATATCAAACAAAATTAGCAATAACTAAATTTAAGTCCTCTGTAGAAGCTCCCCTCACTACTTCTAATCCTTCTCTTAAGCAGGGATGGAGAAGTAGTACACCTCTTGAAATTAACCTTTGCCCTATCTCAAATTATACTACAAGATTATTCCAACCCTATTTTAAACCTGGACCAAAATTCCAAACCCTGTCTCAACCAACAATCAATCATCTGGAAAAAACAAAAAAATTAAATGAAAGTAGCTTACTTCCTTGAATTATTGCCTGACCATGCAGTTATTCAAAATTTTTGTCAAATTTATTCATGATAAATGTTTAGTTTTTTCCCATGATGCGCATGTTTACTTTGGAGAATTTGGTTTCAGATCAACTACTACTCCCCCTATTGACATTTTTCTTTATTCCCATCACTTTTCTGCTTGATCTTATAGGGAGAAATTCTGTGCTAGTCACCCATAGAAACTAAAGGATGAACACACAATTGGAAATTGCTTCAATCTATTTTTAATCAAGTTTCTTTTACAGTTAACAAATATTCAATAACTCGTGTACATGTGAATCTGTCCCTTTGTTAAAATTTTCATGACTTTCAAACTAATACCTATAATACAATAAATTTGGATTAGAGGGCTTTCATACCCATTGCAAAGAAATAGCTGCAAGTTTTCATTGATCACTTGTTAAATCATGGGTGGTTGTTTTGACTACAAATTTTTTTTGCTAGTGACCAGTGCACTAACATCTAATGTTGTAACCCCAACATCTCAAAAAATGTTGCTAACATCTCATGGGTAATTTTTGCTAACTCAATACAAAACCTTTAGTATTCCCATCAACAGAACCTGATCAACTTGCAATTGATTGAAAGGTCAAAACAACCTAAGATGTTGGTGAACTGGGCCACTAGTGAGTTCAAACTATATGAGGAATTTGTAGAGTTCTTCCACTGCTCCTTTCTTCTGGCTGCATTGCTGCATCACTGCAAAGCAGTCTGTCCATTACTGACCATTAAGTGCACACCACTTCCACCGATAAAAACAGACATTTTGTCAAGCAGCAGTAAATAAGAGAAGCATCAAGAATGATCCCAATTCTATTTGCTATGTAAAATATCACACAAGCTGTGAAAGTACAAAGTTCAGAAGCACTCACAGAAATGGAGAACACATTCAGGAAAAGTCCAACAACAAATACAGTGAACCAGGTTATTGGTGTCAGTTTACCTGGTTCTCAGAGGCTTTTAAGAGCCCCTGACCATAAATATGTAGAATCCTCTGACAGTCACAAACTTTCATTGTTCATTTTATTTTTCTAGAGGAACTTTTGATGAACCTTATTTAAAAATTAAATCAAAATTTGTCTCGCTTTGCTCTCTCCTCCCTCCCCCCCAGTAAAACAATGAAAAATCATGCAACTCTAGCAGCTTTGTACACCACAATCCAATGCAGTCCCACTTAGAAAATTATATGTTATAGAATTTTTTTGTGATCTGTTGAAATAATATACTTTGTATCTGTTTCATTAAGGTAAAATAAAGGTCAATTTTAAAGAACACTAACAAGGTTGGGTATAAAGAATTATAGCAGAGCTCACAGAGAGTAGCCCCATAATTATACAAAATAGTAGTAACCCATCAAGCCAAAAAAATTTGGATGTACAACCGTACAACCATTCAAGGTGCTACTTTTAACATGTGTGGTCAACTGTACCGCGGGCACCCCAATGCCACGGCTTTGTCCTGTAGTCCAGTGGTCATTGCACTGGGCTCCGAGTCAGACGACCTGGGTTCTAGTCCTGGCCAGGGCAAGGCGTTGTGCCCTTGAGACGTGCAGGAAAAAAAAATGTGAGCTCTGCTTTTAGGCTTGGCTAAATCTATATATTAAATCATAGTATACATCACCTCAAAGCTTTATCCTAGTAGTTTTACTCCTCATATTTTCTATCTTGGCCCGCCATTAGCAGGGGCGTCTAGGTTAAAAAGAGTTTGGACCATGACGATAGAAAATGCAATGTGAACTGCTGAACAGCTTGAACCACCCATTTAAAGGCCTAGAAAAAGGACTGGTATATATATCTACAGAACCTAGTATACACCTTCTTAACCCTTTAACTCCCAGAAGTGATTAACATGAAACTTCTCCCTATAATATCCATACAATAAGTAGCAAACAGGTAATGAGAATATTCAAACTTATCAGGTAGAAGCTGCTACCTCGATCAACACCAAGTTCTCATAACTAATTCACAAGGAAATGTAAAGCAGCCAGAGGGGAGAATTAACCATCAGGTCCTGGGAGATTAAGGGTTAAAGCTTCATCCTTGTAGTTCAGTACCTCAATTTTTTTCTTGTAGCCCAACATAAGCACCTTGTCCAGGTCAAAGAGAATTTGAGCTATTTTAACAACAAAAATCTAGTGCGAATGAATGAATGGTAGTCACAAGAGGTCATCACCACCTTTCTTGCAGTCTGGTCATTTATTGACAGAGGAACACTTCTCAGCAATATAAGTTGTCATAAAAAGCTTCATTTCAAAAGAACTTTACAGTTGACAAATGATTAAGCAACCTATGATCAACAAAATAAGCTATAATATGCTGTTTATTCAGTCCCAATATGTACCGGTATTTCTCTGAGTGATTTTTATCTAATTTCTCCTTACAATATCCATACACTATCCAACAAACAAGTAATGAGAATACTCAAACTTATCAGTTAGAGGTTGTTATTGTGATATAACACCAAATTCTTGTCACTAAATCACAAGGAAATGTGTAACAACTGGATGGGAGAATTAACAATCAGATCTTAGGAGTTTAAGGGTTAATAGCAGGAGCCTCGGAGGTCATACACTTGGTCACCTGACATAAGTTTGCAGAAGTTGGGCATGGCTGGACTTCTGTCATTAAGAGCTAATGATGTAATCAGAAGTTTTTCTTCCTAAAAATATATGAAATGGCCCTAAACAGTGGTTACCAGACTTAGCCTTGTTTTCATGTCATATCAGAAATTGAATGAAAATGGTAGTTATCTCATTGCTTTAGGCTAAATTCAAGGGAAAATTTGGCTGGAACTGTCAGGATTGTGCAACTTTCTCTAAGAAAATAACAGCATAGAGCCTCTATTTGGCTCAAAAATATGCGCTGATACTTGTCAGCAGACAATATCTGATCCAAGATGCAAACAGTTTTCTACAAGTGAAGCTCTGGGAAAACTGTGAGCTTCAAGAAACAGATAATGTCCAAGGACAAATACACAAGCATATTTTCATGCAAATAGAAGCTATTGTGTTTCATATCCTTTGAATATTTTCCAATGTGCATAGAAAAATGTTTGTGAACAGCTTATTCTTTGCCGTTTGGGATGTTTTCTTTTGAGTGTTTTCTAGTATGACCTTATAAACAAATGAATATTTCCCTTCTTCTGTGACAATCATAAAATACTCTGTTATCTGGAATCAAGTTGCAAAAGAAGAATAATCATAGTGGACATAAGTTTTGAAAATTGTGGAGGTTCACTTGGGTGATATCCTTGGATATCCCCTAGTTTTAGCTAAGGGAATAGCTGGGGAATGTACAGTGATGTGATGAGTTTAGACCAATCACCTGCCCAAAAAAATATTTGATGGATCATAAAAAGGGCTATTTCATAAATTTATGCCACAGAGGACATAGCGATATGCTTATAACAGCTCTTAAAGGGTATTTTGGCATCTCAGCAGTCACATGCTAGGTTACATGAACTCAATTTGCACATACTGAGCACGACTGGGATAATGATGTAGAGATAAATTACTACATTGGTTTCAGAAAATGAGAAGAGGCCAAAATCTTTGGTGATATACTAATTTGTAATGTTTAAATGTATTTTTGTGACATGGAAGAGGTCACGTTGTCACCGCAAGCTGAAAATAGTCGATTTCGCAAAATAGTAACTCTTCTGAAATTACTACTTTGCGAAATGAATAAAAATCCTTCTCATCAATTGACGATTACTCCAAAATATTTTTGAAAGTTATCTTTATCTTATGAGAAAATATATCTGCATTATTCCATTAGTTTCGTTAATTCTCACATAGCTTCGTTTCGTTTCGCAGAATAGAATAACCCAAGATTTCCGTCATAATAAAGTAAAATAATTGAGAGTAACTTTGCTGACTTCTTAGCATAAAGCACTTACTAAGTCTTTCGTGTAGTAACTTTGAATGGTTTGATAAGTGAAAGGCTCCACAAATACACCACTCGTTAAAAAAGGTATGTCAGATTTATCAGTACTTACGTTATTTCTACATCCACGGCTCCAATGTAACGTTGTGTATGTACATCTGACCAGAATGCCAGCCTATACCCGAAGCCTAAAGAATTCTGCTGTAAGCACCTTAAGTTATAAGGTAACGGGGCAAAGGATTAAACTTAATCGGTTCTCCTTTTGCGTTTTGCGTTGTGCGCTCAAGAATTATTGGCACAGTATGCAGAGCTGCAAAACCATCGAATAAGGCGGCATGCGATACTCCCGGCCGTATACATTCTGCTTTGTTTGCATGGTCGCCATACAGGCCATATTTGTTTCAGCTGTCCCTCCAGATCTGACAGGAATTCAGAATGATCAGATGGACAGTTTAATCAATGTATTCGTATTAGTCATTTGTCATTATCTATCTCTGATACGACAAAAATTTGTGAGCAGCAACTATCCAAGCCCGTTGTGGCCTGGAAACTACTAATTTTCTATCAGCGGTTACTAAGCTAAGTTCATCCAACATGGCGACAGGGGGGACATCTGCTCAACCAACAGAAGAAGATGCTACAGAACTACAGTTTCCAAAAGGTTTGAGCTATTCTGTTTTTCAGAACTTTGCAGAGATATGATTATTTGACGCACTGATTGAGTAACACAAAAAGTATTTAGTCCTGATGTCCCCCAGAAAAGAAAAATTTATCCTCTTCTTCATACATTTCACTCGGTAGAATCGCCTTTGTACGCACGAGATCTCTTTGATTTCTGTAAAACTCAGCAGAGTAGCGGCCCCACTCACATTATAGATAAGAGCGATAAACTGAAGCATAAAATTTTAATCTAATTGTATTACCATATTTAATTCGCTTTCTAGAATTTGAAAGTGCGGAAACATTGTTAAACTCCGAAGTGTACATGTTGTTGGAACACAGAAAGACGCAGAACGAAGGAGCAGAGGAAGAGCAAGAACTATCGGAAGTTTTCATGAAAACCCTTAACTACACACAGAAGTTTAGTCGATATAAAAACAGAGAAACCATCGCTCAAGTGAGAAGGTAACAGAATGAAATTAATTCAATGCGGATACGCGAACAAAGAAACCTTAGAGTAAGAAAATACTCAACCCTGAAAGTACCAAGATCGAATTTTTATTTCTCCTCTCTAGTTTTTACTCATTTCCTTGTAAATTAGTTTCAAGAATTTGGTGTGAGATCAAGATTTTCAACTTCTACCTGATAAGTTTGTGTATCCTCATAACCTGTTTGCTGGATTATGTATGGATATTATATGGAGAAGTTACATTCTAATCACGTTTGGAAGTTAAAGGGTTAAAAAAAAATAGATCTTGTCATAACATGCTGGCCAATTCTTAAAGTAAAATATGAGAGTGTTGTGCTTGTGAATCAAAGGGCAATCTTTCCAGACATTAAGAGCAACTGACCAGTGATGCTTGACTGATAAGACTATTTCTGTGGCATATGAACAGAAACAGGAAAGGTGAATAATAAAGGATATTTTAGTTTATATAATCTATTGGAGGAAAGATGCATAGATGATGTCATCATTAACCTTTTATCTCCCGAGATCTCACCAGTAATTCTCCTTACTGTCTGCCATATAGTTCTTGTGATGTTAGTTTCAAGAATTTGGTATTGCATCAACTAATAATCCCCTAATTAATATTTTTCTTTATTTTTATCACTTGTCTGTTTGATATTGTATTGATATTGTAAGGAGAAATTCTGTTGTGGTCACTCATGAGAGTTAAAGGGTTAACAACATCTTGCTTTTCCATCCTATAAAACAAAGTGTTTCCATATTGCTACAGCTCTGTTCAGTAAAAGATCACAGAACATGTCAAAATATAATAACATCAGTGATATTCTGTAGTACCTCATGAGCCACTTTTTTTTTTCTTATCACATATGATGTCATCTGTGACACTTTTTTTTTCTTATCACATTTGATGTCATCTGTGATCTATCACTGAACAGATGCTCAGCAAAATAGAAACTATTTTTTCTAAACAGAGTAGTGACCTCTGTAAAACAACCACCTTCTCTCATCTGCTTGTTAGTTTTACCCCAGACTGATTGTCACAATGAAGTTCAACTTTATTTTCAGTTTCTGACAATCCAAACTTCTTGTTATAGTTTGCTGGGCAAGAAGAAACTGCACAAGTTTGAACTGGCCTGTTTGGCCAATTTATGTCCTGACACAGCAGAAGAAGCTAAGGCCTTGATTCCAAGGTGAGTGTTTACCTTTCAGACCCTAGCATCAGTATGCATGTTCTCCATACTGTTCTTTATACGTTGTCTATGGAGTTGTGAAGGAGAATTTGTGTAATAGTCAAAAGTCTGTTTAGTTAGGGATCATTTTCTTTGCACCTAATGTTTTTATTCTGCAGTGTTACTGCAAAGAGAAATTAGATGCAAGTCATTCCTTGGGATAAAGGTTTAATTAACCCTTTAACTTCCATAAATGACCAAGGCAGAATTTCTCCTTACAATATCAATACATTATCAAGCAGACAAGTGAGAAGAATAAAGAGAAATATCAATCAGGGGATTATTAGTTGATCCAAACCCAAATTCTCCCAACCAGAATTGCAAAAATTGTACTGGAGACAGGAAGGAGAATTACTTATGAGATCTTGGGGGTGAAAGGGTTAAAAATCCATGTTTCACTGCATACACAGGGCGTGAAATTAATTTTTTTTTTCTGATAGCCACTTGGCTCCTAAATTCATCAAAGTGGTAGCCAATTCAAAAAAAGTTGGTCGCCATTTTGAAAGACAAACAAAACCTTTTTTTTACGCTGTCATCGTTCTAGAAATTAAGTTAGGGAAAAGATCTTTAACGTGCTACAAAGGGGACACTAGGAAGGTGTTCGTAGTTCAGACGCGGATAAGTTAGAATGGGTTATCCCCCACCCCCTCTACTAGGTTTACTTCTGTCCCCATGATCATTGTACAGTCTTCTGTTTAAATATATGGACGGTGGTACTATAGTAAAAAGTTTTGCCTGAATACATGGAATTTATCAAAATAATTTGAAAATCGCGTCTGCCGTCGGGCTGTAGGCCAAAATGATTTCGCTCGTTTTTCCTCTTTTGCTCCGTGAATATTAGTGCTACATGCAATTACTCATGATTAGCGACGCCGTAGTTTCTCCTCGACTCAACGAAAAAGTTCCAAACTAAGCACAACAGCTAAGAACAGAATAAAAATTGTCCGACGAAACACAAATATAATCTATTGAATAGACCGCGATTTAGAGCTCTCGCCGTAATTTGTATCGTGTCGCGCTAGTTAAATCAACTGTCGCTTAGCAGCATCATAATTTTGAAACGGCTTGATTTAATTTGTTTAAATTCACTCAGCTGCGAGGCCTTATCTCAAAATAGGAAATCCTAAAGTTTTCGGAAAATCTATCGGTAAATTTTGGAGACCGTCCTCAAAAACTGATTAACGGGAATTCCCCATAACATTAGCATAATAATAGCAGTTGTCATGCAACGTCCACTATCTCAAACGTCAATTCTTTGGTCACGACGTGCAAAAATTGGTTTGACTGCGAAGAAGGAAAGTCGGTTTTTGAGCGCTTTGAATGTAGTCAGTAGGCGTCTCGGAAAACTGTTTCCAGCTACCTTAAAATTGTTCAGATAACAGTGACAACAGATCACAAAATAGGTGTGTCTATGTTTATTTCATAGAAAATAGAAGGGTCTCATTTGCTTTCCATTGGAAAGTATTTTTGTTTGAAACTTTGAAAGTTGATGCTCTTTTTCTTTCACAAAATTGAAAAAACAAGTTACTCAAATCGTCCTATCTCAACCCAACCAAAAAAAATTTTGCACGCATGGCATGCCTACGTTTCAGAAGTGCCGGCCTTGCATTGAAATCGCGAATATGTAACCCCGCAAAATACCGTCTCACCACAATCGCAAAATTAAGTACCCGCGAAATTAAGTTCCCATAATTGTAGAACTTAAGATATGGTATTTGCAAGAAAGTTGCAGTAAAAGCAATCGCGGAAAAAAAAGCTTGATAAGATTCACATTTGGACGGGATTCGAACCCGTGCCTCGCAGATGTCAGTTGGGCGTCTACCAACTAAACTACGAGGCCACATGAAGAGAGAGAGAGAGAGATCAAATGTAGCTTATTATTGCGAGGATCACTCTTTTGGTTTTTAGTGCTTATTGTTATCCCATATCTTTTGGGGAAAAAAATTAACGGGGTACTCTGCATCAATGCAAATCTCTAAAAAGTAGTACAATAGAAAACAAATGACGCTAAAAATCCGAGGTTTTATTTTTAACACGGTGATGTCTCCCATGTCTTCACTTTTGTATCTCGGTTGTCAATCGTACAAGTCAATCGAAAAAGCACACGATTTTGAAAACTAGTTGGAAAAATGAACGTTGAACGACCAAGCCGTGTTTAGAGGCGATCATACTTAGTAAATTACTTCGACTTAGGTGGAAGGGGAAGGTAAAGGAGAACGTTCAGTAACAATTTACAATTTCTTTTGTGATAACACTACTAAGGGTGCAATTTGCCTTAGAAAGCAAAATCCTTCGCCACACTCGTAATCCTCTATTGCTTCAGATTAATCTGGCAGCACATGTGTCCATTTCAGTTTCCTGTCACAGTTTCCCATATCAGCTTCCTGAGTAGCCGAGAAAAAGATGGCGTGTGATAACTACTTGACAGCCGTTCACTTTGCCAATAATTAAAATCGCATTTGTTTCCATAAATAAACCATAAAATCTGGAGCAATGACCGACCGGAAGACCACCACACTTTCATTATTTCAACTTACGACATAATGCGATTTGCATCTAATCGAAAACAGTGAGAATACAAACGCTAACAATGGATAATCTCAAGGAATTACTTGCACCAAAAACATTTAACAGAGTCAGCCATGCCGCAGTTGTTGTTTGGATTCTAATCGGTGTAATCTTCCTTGGAATTTTTGCAGACGCAGAAAGCAGCGAATCCAGGTATGATTTCCGCTGTGGCGGGGCAAACAGTGAAAACATCGACCTTGTACGTGGAAGATGTTTCGAGTTATACGAGAAGCAGTATAACAAACACGATGTTGCTACCTATGGCTTCGTCACCATGAACTTTTTCCTCATTGCAACTGTCTGTGCTATTTACTCCCAAATAGCGAGCCCTACAGTCGATCGACTGTCGCCAAGCGCTCGGAACGATGATCTCGAGAGACAGTCGCCCGACCAAGAGAAAGCTGGAAAAAAGCTCTTTATCGCTTACTGCTCTCAGCTTGTCGCAAGGATTGTTTTAGGAGTTCTCTTTATGGTCCTACAAACTCAGGTTCTTTATCCTCGGGACTTTCCCTCCAGCTTTTCTTGTCATCTAACCTCTGAGGGGAATCAGCCAAGGAATTCTACTGGCGTTATGCAAAACTCCACCTTAACCTTGCACGAGTGTCATAATCAGCGAGCAACTAAGAAAAACTCTTGGATGCGCGCTGTTCTTATCGTGAACGGAATTTTTCTCTTTGGAATTCTGATGGAAACCGTCTATATTTTGCTACGTGCGTGGAAAGAAAACAGTTTCATGAAAAATTCAAACTTTCTAAAAGCTCACCTGAATCCCTTCCATGGCAACTCACAAAATGCTACCACCGCGACCAGATCCTCGCAGCAAAAACAAAGAACGGAGCATGAAACAAACCACATCCTCAGTCTCAAGAAGAAAGAACAGAGCAAGAAACGAACGTCCCACAAGAACAACACCAGGTAGAGGAACCTAAAGACCATGAAACGAACATCCCACATCTGTCAAGCAAGTCTCATCAAATCCGAAAACCACCGCTTCAGGAATTCATCGAGGGTACAAAGAGAATTATTAAAGAAGAGACAAATAAACCTCCCCAACTCCGGTCGCCTTTTTCAAGTACTCACGGCGAAGGACGCCCAGCTAAACATTTGACTCTGGATCAGATTTACACTAAACTTGTCGTTGTTCCAGACATGGCTAATTATGACTTTACTGGAGACAGACAGCAGAAACTCGAAGTCTACGCCAGATCGGGTGAGGAAAACACAACACCTAGAGGGCCGGAGGACATTATTAACCACGAAAACAAAAAAGTGTTGATTGTTGGTCGTCCCGGAATCGGAAAGACACTTTTTTGTTCCAAAGTTCTCAGGGACTGGGCATTAAACAAAGTATTTCATAAAACATCTGATGCTAAACTCCATTTTGATGCTACTTTCTTCATCAAATTCAGAGCATTCAACGATGCAGCCGACCTAAGCCTCAGGGAACTGCTCACTTTGTCAGAACATTCCCCCTCAAAACACATGGATGATGAAGTCTGGAATTACGTCCTTGAGAACCCCCAGAAAGTTCTTCTTGTTTTCGATGGAATCGATGAATTTAAACAGAATTCAAAGATCGGCGAGGAAAATTTCGATCCTCAATTCAGAAACCATGTAGACGAGAAGATGCCCTTGTCTGCTCTTTACGAGAAGCTTGCGTCTGGGAAACTTCTCAACGGAGCTGCCGTTTTGACAACCACAAGACCTACGGCTTTGTCATGCATCGAACGTCTTTCTTTCGACAAAGTCTTTGAGATCCTCGGCTTCTCATCCGAACAAGTCGAAGAGTACGTAACCAAATTTGCTGAAGAGGACAAGCATGCGGGCGAAACAATATGGCGACACATCGGCGGCAACAGGAACATTCTCTCTCTATGCTATATTCCTGCGAGTTGCTTCATCATTTGCTCAAGTCTATTTCAAATGGTGAAGTTCTATGGTTCTAAGAGTCTAAGCCTACCAACGAAATTAACAGATATTTACAAGAAAGCTGTGAAAATTTTTTACTTATGCCACAACGAAGAATTCCGTGGCAAGAATTTCACCCGCGAAGACTTTGAATCAGACGATTTGCCCCCTGAAGTGGAAAAGAAATTCGAGAAACTGGAAAAAATGGCATTTGAAGGAATTAAAGAAGGAAGGCTGGTCTTTGGAAGAAAGGAAGTAGGCGGAATGGAAGACAGCGCTCTTTTTCACCGCTTACTTGACCGTGAAACTGTTGCGTTAAAACGTGAACAACAATTCTGTTTCATCCATTTAACAATGCAAGAGTTTTTCGCTGCGAGGCACCTAGCGAACATGAGTGAAACAGAATTGAGAAACTTTGTTTCAATGAACATCGAGGACGGCAAATGGCAGCTGGTTTTTCAGTTTCTAGCAGGACTAATGAACGAGAAAGAAAAACTACCGAGTGAAATCATCACAGACCTTCTTCCTGTGGAAACTGAAGAGAAAGAAAGCGAGTTCTACGACGAAGAGTGGCCAGAGGATACGGAGCCAAGGAACGTAATGCGTTGGCCGACTGAAGACAAAAAACATTTAGCAGTGACATTATTTAAATGTGTTACCGAAAG